GAGGGAGGGCATTCTGCTCGCAGCTTCAGGGCGCATCCCAGATATGCGCGCTTCAGAATCCAGAAGCACTACATTGTCCAGGAAGTTCCTGCCAGGCAAAAACCCTCTCTGATCTTTGTGGGCTTGTGCAGCAATCGAGCCTTTAATACGGCGATTGCATGCTGTTGATATGATCTTTACATCTGTGTTATTCAAAGCAAGAGGGCGTGTGCTCTGCGGGGATCTCATGACAAAGGCACTATCCCGCTCTTCACGACCCTTTGGAGCAAAAATGAGGAGGAGGTCGTTGAGGGAAACAGGAGGGGGGAAACCAGCGAGTAACTCAAGCATAAGCACATATAGGATTTCTTTCGAGAGCGAAGACTGCTGCCATGTTGCGCACGGAAGACCATCAGGCCCAGGAGCCGTAGGTTTCGCGCCATGGATCACGCGCTCTATCGACCCCATCGATGGCGGCGCAGCCAATGACCAGTCAAAGACATGCACATGCTTGTCAAGGCACTGGTCAAGATGCCTCCGCGACGTCGAGCGCGGGGCAAAAACAGGGGCCCAGTGAGACCGAAGGGCAGACGTCATCTCCGAAGAGGACACAAGGGCCACCTCACGCGCAGGGTCGACCACAGCCTGCAGCGGCAACGTTTTACCCTTCGGAGCCCACATCTTGGCACGCCTCCTCTCAGCTCTGACGTACGCTCGAATTCTTTCCTTCTCAGCATAGACAGGGGTGTCCTTCAGAGCAGTTTCAGCACGGTTCACACGGTCCTCAACAAGATCACGCTGAAGCTGCTCGCACTGCCTCCTAAAGTTCATTGGCCAGGAAAGCGATACGATATTGTCCTCCGAAATCTCCAAGAACTCCGACGCAACCGTCGTGGTCGCAAGGAGGGCCCGGGCCAGATTCACGAGGGCAAAATGAACAGCCCTCGAAATCGATCTGAAAATAATCATCTTGGCTTCCAACGGGGGCGTTTTAGCACTCACAAGCTTGTTCCTGGTCAGCCGGGCCGCTTCTCTCAGCAGACGTCTGTACTCGGCCCACTTCGCAATCGTCGGCAGTTTCAACAGATCCGAATGCTGCAGGAGGAGATTGAGATACTGTTTGTACTCGGGAGCCTGACACACGAAGCGCGGCACCGCCTGGCCCTCCGCCGCCTTCTGCGGGCGCGAGCCGAAGGCGATGCACAGCGGCGCATGGTCAGACACCCCCTGCTTGAAGAGGTCCTCAGGAAACTGCATGACCGTGGCGCCGATCGACCATTGTAGTAGCAACCATCCTGGTGTGCTTATCATCACTTTGTCAAGCTGAGAAAGTCGTTGATTATCATGAATGTAGTGAGTCGGCGCCTCAGGGTCTAACTCCGTCATCTCGCTCACTGCGGCCGCCCATATATCAGCATGCCCCCTATGTCTCGCAGGTATGATCAACCCTTTGTCGATCTCTGGCACATGCAGGTGCATCGGGGCCGTCTCCGTGTAGTCGAAGTCGCCCATGGCAACCACAGTCATCTTATGCGGCTGCAGTGCAGCGTGTTCCGCCTCCGCCGAAATACGAGCCGAAATAGAAGATACCTGCTGAGCCGTGAGACCAAAGTTATGCAGATTATATATCACCAGCATAGTGTCAGGACGCTCATCATCTGCACGGGCCTTGATCGCCACCCTCAATACCCTGCCAGGGACCAGCTCAGATACTCTGATCCGTTCCTCTCGGACCGCGTCATCAGCCTCAGCCTGTGTCATCTGCGGTATCAGCGTGACCACACCACCAGCATCGCGCGAGTGTAGTGAGGAGAAGCACGCCGCCTTGAAATGGAGGTCGTAGAGAAGCCTGAGCATGTCCGGCCGAGACCCGTGCACCTCTTGTAACACCACAACTCCAGCACCTGCAGAACAGTTTGGGCTTGGCAGCCTTCTTACACCGAACGTCTGGCTTGTGGTGGAGGAGAGCACGGGTGTTCCACGTCACAAACTTGATATCCTGCAGCGGCCGCTCACGAATCTGTTCATGCCATGCGTTCAGCGTCCTGCTAAAGTTGCCACTGTACTCTCTCCTCCGTGTGGAACTTGTTATTGAACGCAGCCGTGAGCTCATCCTCATTGACGGAGTGCTTTTGTACGAGGGAGTAGTTCCATAGAAGACGCGTGCTCTCATCTCTCTCATTCCCCACCTGTACCTGCACGCAAGGGGAACCATCCAGGAACACAACTCCACGTTGGCGATCATGCCTCGTCCGAAGGCTTGGAAATTGTTCTCGCACCGCAGCAGCCATTGCTTTTGTTTGAATTTCTCTACGTACTTGCTTCGGAGATTTGTCCATTCCCACGAAGACTCTCGATTCGCCCCCGTCAATCGTGTTGACCAAGAATTGTTTCCACGCTCCCGTGTTGTCTTTGAGAGCCCTTCTTGCAGCCTGCGCTCTCCTGGTGGCCGAGTTGCTATCACCTTTGAATTGAATGATGAATCGTCTTGATGGAGTCGGGCCAAGCAGCTTCCAGTCATCATCAGAAATTTTAGCTTCACTGAGCCACGGCGCCAGAAAACCACATAGCACCCCCCGATCCACATTGGCTGTGGTGTTCGCGACCAGGATGCCCGTGTCTGGCGGCCTGTCCCACTCCACATGTCCGTCCAAGTCCTCGACCGTGATGGTTGATTCCGCCATATATAAAGCCTCCCGCATCTTCTCCAGTTGCTCCGAGAAGGCCAGCTGCTGCTTCTCCGTCGAGGCGATCCTCTGCTGCATCTCGTTGATCTCGCCGCGCAACTGGATGTTGACCTTCTCCTGACGTGCCGCCACGGCGCGCACCAATCCCTCTGTGTGATCGGTGACGTCCTTGACCACAGCGCCGCGGATGGAGTTGAACTTTGCGTCGATCGTGGCGGCCACCTCCCTCTTGTACGCCTCGAAGTAGTCGTCAAGGTCTGCTTGAGCAAACGGATGGGAGGAAGTGCCTGTGGTCGCCGGGGGCGTAGCAGTCCCACTTGTGGCTTCAGCAGCGGCAGGGACTCTACGAGAGTTCGCTCCTGCAGCAGCAGCCCGTGGGTCTCCAGCGCCCGCCAGAGAGTCAGCAGTACACCCTTCACCAGGACCGCCAGCACCACGGCTACCACGAACGCGGTCGCCTCTGGCCTCCTGCGGTGAGCGCGAGCGAATGGGGGCACCACCCGCAGGCCCATCAGGCATACGCGCGGCGCCAGGCGGGGCGCGCGCTGGCGGAAATGCGGGCCAGAACGGCGTTGTGAAGTAGGTGGAATGAGTGCAGCTGCATACAGGGGGAGGCAGCAGAGAAAGAAGAAGCAGGCCCCAGGACGCTCGAGAGCGGGCGACGCATGGGCCAAAGCTAATCAGAGTCAGCTATGTTACTTTAGCGTCCTCCGTTTAGCCTTGAGCCAAAATGGCTACGGACTCCTCCTCCTCCTCCTCCTCCTCGTCTTCCTCTTACTCCTCGCCCTCCTCCTCCTCCTCCTTCTCCTCCTCCTCCTCCTCTTCCTCCTCCTCCTCCTCCTCCTCCTCCTCCTCCTCCTCCTCCTCCTCCTCCTAGAGAACCCAGAGAGAACCCAATACCGCAAACAATGGTTTGCATGTCTGAGTGCATGCGCGCGGCTGCGTTATATCGCACTGCCTTGCAGCCGCCATCGCCGGCTTCGAGCGCGTGCACCGCTCCTGCGGGCCTCCTCCTCCAACACCTCCTTCCCCTCCTCCTCTTCCTCCTCCTCCGCCTTCCCCTCCTCCTCCTCCTCCTCGTCCTCCTCCTTCCCTCCCTTCCCCCCCATTCCTCCTCCTCCTCCTCCTCTTCCACCTCCTCCTCCTCCTCCTCCTCCTCAATTCCTCTTCCCTGTATCTAACTTCTCCCTGTCGCACCCCGAGGCCAGTTTTTAGGGCGGTCCGGGCGTTTCGCCTTAGACTTTCTCACCATTTATGACTCTGAAGCTAAAAACTGGCAACAGTTTCACAAATGGAGGGCGGGTGGTTTTCAAAATGTGGCTCTCCCCTCAGTGCGGCGCACATTCGTTATAAAAAGTTGCCAGAGCTTCACGGATTGAGGGCGAGTGGTTTTCAAAATGTGACTCTCGCTTGAGCGCCACGCACATTCGTTTACAAAAAAACTGCAATAGTTTCACGGATTGAGGGCGGTTTCTTTTCAGAATGTGGCTCCCGCCTTAGCGCGGCGTACATCCGTTTAAAAAAGTTGCCACAAATTCACGGATTGAGGGCGGGTGGTTTTCAAAACGTGGCTCTCGCCTTAGCGCGGCGCACATTCGTTTTAAACACTTGCATGGGTTTCACGGATTGAGGGTGATT